CAATCAGTTCCGAGATACGTCATGTATTCTACATCCATTCAATCAGTCAGTAACAGAATCGGCCTAGAAACTTTTGAATCCGAAGTGATAAAAGTCGTAGGTGGCCCGTGAGTGACTCTATGAGCTCAGTAATAGGTATAGGCTGATATATACCTTCGGGTGCAGGGCATGCAACGAGATGATTCGGAAGCATGTGCCGAAGTGGTAGGAAGTAAATTCAGAATTTACAAATTCTGCACAAAAGCGTTCTAGGATCGAATAAGGGATGAATAGAGGTGAGCTAGGATAGAGATTTCAGAGGTTCAAGGCTAGTATGGTGTGCACGAAGATGGGCGGAGTTGATGTCATGAAGTTCATTAACCCAATGAGCTCTGCAAGAGATCAGATGAAGCTGGTAAAACAGAAAAGTTGAAATGTTTACGATAGGCGGTCTGAAAACCTAGGTGTATGGAGCATGAACTGAAAATTCGTGATACCGAAAGCGAGGAGATCGAGTCATCATTGTGGACGGAACGCACAGCAAATTTGGTGTGTTTATACACTTGAAAAGAAACATATTAAGGTTCCTTCCGAAATAAGGTTGGCTGCTGAGCTGATGGTCCATAGAGATTACCATAGAAATTAGCGGAAGAGTTGAGGCAAATCGCTTACGACAGTTGCTGGGAGCTATAATCGAATGTCCTAGAATAGATTCAAGACCAACTGGCTGCTAGGAAAATAGCAGGTAACGTAATAATCATACGAAAATGGCAGACGTATGCAAAAGCTGCAGAAGTTTGAGAGGAGGAGTTAAGTAAAAAGCACTGTAGTCGAGAGCACTGTAGTATGAACCGACGTTGGCTCTGTGGTTTCGGTTGATATCGGTTCAAATCATGAGCGTTACGAGAATGGTCATGGAGATTTAGATACGTATAAGAATAATTTTCAGTGTTTACTGTTCAAATTTACCGATTTCTCTTCATGTATGGTTTAGCGAGTCATAACCCAACTGACAGGTAAATAAATTCTTGTAAAGTATGCCGGGCTCTCGGTTAAGGGATGGGTAGTGTTGAGTATATCCTCCACTAGTTCCGAGCTCGGCTTGCCTTAGAATTCGTTGTGTTGTATGGATACGTTACGATTCCAACTGGTAATCGTCTATGAGTTACGAGGACTTATCCACTTTGTACTTAGACCTCCTTTCAGAAAAGTCTGTAAGGGGCAAGGTCAACCTATCAGAATAACTGAAGACTCACCTTTTCTCGTGATAAGCCAGATGCCCTTCGTCTACTTCCTTCCTCACTAAGTGTATCTGATCGGTCCGCATTAATTTCTGAATGTTCTGAACTCTTGAATGGCCGACTAACCGACGTTGCCGACGCTATTTGGACATTTTCGAGTAATACTGTTATTCTTCAACTGGCTACGGCATTAGCACTGGTAGAACGGCACATGACACCTTCAGTGGTTGTTCACATTTCTTTGGAACGGCTCTTCGTAACGCTTTGAAAGGTAATTCAGGATTCTCCAATTGCATGGCTGGTAGGTTATAAAGTAGCACCAGTTTGGGTTTACAGCCGCCTTCAGAAGTGTGGCGTAATACACGTAATAGTTGTTCGGAAACCACTCAAAACGCCTGTTGCATCGAGCGAGTCTACCGGCGGGAGTTCCGAGGAAGTTGCCGCAACACGTTCTTCTTCCCTTAGTTGGCTATTTCACATAGATAATGGCAAATGATTTGGATCATAGCGGGAAAGTTCCGTTTTCGTCTTTGACAGGATCAAGCAAGGCGTCGAGAATCATTATTTATCAGTACTACACATCTGGCAAAACTCCCCAGAAAAGTCTTACGCGGTCCTCTTCATTAACTTCAATTGCTTTTTTTTCTTATTAAAGAGCTAAACGAGACAAGTGAAAGAGGGTAACCCTTTAGCAAAGCAAGTTGAGTACTACACTAGTTCTGAGCTCATTTGTTTTCCAGGGTGAACCCTGATGCCCGACTTTTTGCACGATGCTGCGCGCCCCCTTTACATTTCCACCTACTGACGTCTCCTTGGAACGCCTTTTTGCCCCGCCTTCGGATATGGGGCCTTGTCAGGGGGAGCAAAGAAGGGAAGGATGTGTTTGGTGGGCTTCATTCACTAATACACATCGGTTCTTTGGGCGCCCAGTAGATATTGCTCTCCAGTTAAAAATCCGCGAAGCCGTAAATTTATCAATTGCATCTTTGAATGGCCGGCGTGTATTCCTTTTCAGGAGTTCAGCTTATTGATACTTCAATCCTAATCCTATATTTCACTTCATACCTCAAACCACTATGCGCTCAGGCGAAAACAGTTGGACTACGGCTCCAGAAGAACCATGGGTAAACCACCATTGAAAGGGTGCAACTGTTTTTTTTCATGTAAAGGTTCCTGCCTTGTGTTTTTTTTTGTGATTGAATTCAACCATCCTACCTTTAATGGGAGCTTCAAAAGCAGTTTGTCTGGCATTCGTTGTAAGAAGGTCTCCGTCACTAAAATGGTTATAAATGTGATAGCACAACTGGTACAGAGAGTTGACGGCGTAAAGCCGAAGCTCGATTCTCCGGATACCGTAGGCATTAAGAAGAAGGACAAATCGAAACCCTTGGCATGACGTCGAGGCCTACGAAGACGAAGGCTTACCGAGGTGGATCGAATCCAAATGTTTGTTCCACGTTATTCTCAGCATTCATCGGAGGTGAATTAGGAGCAGCTGGTTTCATGGGCACTTCTCTGTCAGCAATCGGCATCTTGATACTTTAAATAGCTGGAAACTGAATGGTGTTTCATTTGTTTTGGAATGCCGAAGGCCGAGTAAAATCGGAGCTAAATACCTGATATCCTAGCCGGAGCAAGACCACGCTAACATGCAGCAGTTTTCCTGCCTTACAGGATGACTTCAGTAATGAAAATGGCATTAAAAAAATGAATTACGCATGTAAATATCAGTAGCTGATAAATACTTTATCTTCACTCCACAGCCCTCCATAGCGCAAACTGGTAATAGGTATCAATTGGCTCTTGAAAAATATCAATATTCACTCTACAGAAGACACAGTAATCCTTTAGGCAAAAGGCACAGGTAAACGAACATAAGCTGAGGATGTTTTTTGTGGGCTTGATAGAGGACCGCTCTTATTTAGAAGGCATTTCTCTCAAAAGGGAGTCCACGGTAGTGTGGCTGAAATCTCGTCTTGTGTTGTGGTACTGTAGCAGTAGTCACCAGTAACGGAAGTAATTAATGTCCAGTGTAGGCCGGTCACGTTCAGTGATCGATTGTTTGCTACCACATTTCTTTTTGAGACCAGAACATCAACATGAGCGTCGGCCACATCCTTTTGATGAGGTTAAGTACGCTTCTCCTGCTTTTACGGTTTACGAAGGCAAAACTCAAAAGAAGCGGTGTTTATATCGTTGAAGAACTCCTGATGGTTCAGATGACTCGGATGATCTTTTAGAAAGATTTCTGGGCAAAAGATGAGCTGTGGGAGCATTCCTATCCTACTATATATAACGCGCTAAGTGTGTG